GGGGTGAGAGGAGGGGTGAGAGGAGGGGTGAGAGGAGGGGTGAGAGGAGGGGTGAGAGGAGGGGTGAGAGGAGGGGTGAGAGGAGGGGTTGGGGCGGTGGTTAGGCATCGAAAGTGCAATAATAAAATCTCTTTTTTTTTGACGTTTCAAACAGTCGAAGTGGCGTTCCGAAATGTGAATTGAATTGTGGCCGTTCACCTAGCCACCCTGCATCAGCATTCACATCCCGCATCACTGGAACCACCAAAGAGAAGGAGAGGGAAGGAGTGAGGCAGAGATCTGTAGATGTCACCACAACTGAGATAAAAAAAAAAAAGACCAAAAAATACCAGCGACCAAGACACTACTTATTAACCAATACTGGTCCCAGTCTGATAAACCAGGTGTTACCTCAATCTGTCAGGCGTTGTTTGCCCCTGTTCTCTGTGTGTTTGAGCGTTCGGTAGAGCTGGGAGTAAAAGACAGTCTACAAGGTGTAAACTGCAGCTCTGTCACTCACTGCCCCTCTGTGATGATAGGAGAAGTGACAGTGCTGTGATAAAGTGAGGACAAACACTGAGTTGAGCCGGTGAAGTCGCAGACGTAACGCTGCCTGAACGCCTCCGTGTTTAAACGGACACAATAACGCACATGGATGCACATGCTCTCACAATGACCTCTATTAAAGAGGCCTTTACGTCCTTTTAAATATGAAATGGATGCCATGTTAGTTCCCTGAGGATGATGCAGTAATGATCAGTGAAAATGAAGATAACACCTCAGTACCCTCGAAGTCAGTGTCGTAGAGTCCAGAGTGACTGACACTGAGTGATGCTCACGTGTCTCCCTGGGCTACACATGCAACACTTCTGCTAATTATCTAATTATGAAGAACTGGAAATGTCTAGACTTGGATGTATGTAATAGCCCGCTCCAAAAAAAAAAAAAAAAAAATCACAGCACAGAAAAATTCTAACACAATTGTATTCACAGTCCCTTCAAATAAAATCAAAACTCTTTCCATCTTTCTCCATTCTCTCATGTGACCACCTTTAAACACAACGATTATTTTTGAGCAGTGTTGACCTGAACAATCCTGGATAACAATCCACCTCCCACTTATTCTCTACAATGCTTTAGACTTAAGAGCCACAGTTACCTGTGCAAATAATGTGGAGGGAAAAAAAAGTCTATTCTGTGATTTTTTTTTAAAGCCAAAGAAGAACAATTTCCTACAAAAATAGTAACAGAGATAAAGATGACATGTTGCTCACTCACTTTGCCTCCAGAGCCAGTGCAATGATCCCAGCAGCCAGTGGAGCTGAAGCAGATGTCCCTGTGTGAGAGTCTGTGCATTTTTGCCTGAGGTCTGTGGTCACCTTGGAGATGGGAGGGAAATCAGATCAGGCAGAGAGAACATTAAAATGAGAAAAGTGCTTTATGAAAGTGCAAACTGAGCTTTCCATTTTGGTAGGAGGGAGGTAAAATGTCGAACTCAGAAGGTGGAAGGGTGAGTGGGGGCAACAAGAAGGGTGGAAATAAAAAGAAACAGATGGATTTATTTAGGTTAAAGTGTCAAATCAGCCAAATCAGAGCAGCCATGTCAGATAGACTAAGTATGGCCGTATAACTTTGGCTTTTCTCCTGCTCTAGAAAAGAGCTGCAGAGTTAATGAGGTCTGTCTGGGTCACCAAGACCAAATGACAAGGAAGTCTGAAGGTGAGGTTAGGGTGAGAAGTTGAGGGACAGTCCCTTGGTTGGCAGACTGTAGCGCTAATGGCCTCTGTTGCATGTCTTCAGGTCAGAGGAGCAAACAAATCATGGCCAGGCATCGCTACAGGACCAACCTTAAGTGGTCAGAATTAAAAAAAAAAGAACAAACAGCCATCTCTGGTGTACAGCTTTCTGTTGTTAATAGAAACATATTACACCTGGTTACTATAGGTAAGGTTATTTCAGATCAGCTGATCAGCTTCTTGTACGTGTCTCAGACCAGACCACAGCTCAGAGGGAGATTTTGTAGCTGCGGCCCCTAAACTCCGAAAGCATCTGTCTTTGTCTGTTCTGCTTCATCTCTTCATATATTTTAATAACTTTCAAACACACACGTTCTCTGTTGTCTTCAACACAGTGTGAGTGGTTGCACTTTCCTGTACAAACGTTATTCATTTTAGTTATTCTAGTCCAGTTCTTCTTCAAGTGCTTCTGGGGGGGAACTGTGACCTGACGGGGAGGGCGTGACAATTGGGGGGAATTGATGATGTCACAGCTGCACTTTTATTTATTTATTTATTTAACCTTGTGTTATTTGATGACCAAAAAAGTTTGATTGTTTTAGCCCTTTTGTTGCTTCAGTTATGCCTGTGTTTTATGATAGTCTACACCGCTTGTTTGTACAGATTTCATACTGTTGTCTTTTTAAATGTGCTTGAAAAAACTAATTAAATCAGATTTGATTCCTAATCAATGCATTTTCTTAGTGTACTTCCAGTCCTGCTCATACTTTAGAAAAATGCTCCAATCATTTTTAATTCAAACCCATATTTGGTTTTATTGATTGACTTGGCAATGGATGAAAGTGGTTTTGTGTTACCAACAGCTGCAGAATTTTTGTTGTTTTTATACCATTCACTACCCAAGCACTATACATTTTGGTAAAAAGAAAATCAATTAAACCATTTGTGATTGAAGACTCAAAAATCAGCAATCAAATCAGTAATGAACAAAGGAAACCCGTGTGAGCTCACTGCTACAACAAAGGACGCCCTGTGACAGTTACAGAGGTGCAACAACACAAACAAACTGCTCCTGTGTTTGCTCGCCTGCAGCACGCTCCTGGTGTGTTTTCTAGAAAATGGCATATTTGAGGTCGTTTCATGTTACCTTGTCCCCGAGGAAGCTGTGTCTTCAGCTGACAACCACAGTTTCAGACGGATGTGGCGACTTATGTCTCTACGTGTCACACATCAGTCAATGTCTGGTTCTAACGGTTGGATTTCTGGTTGTGCTTTCAGGGAGAATTCTGATGTGAATATGCAAACAAAATCAGCATTTTCTCCAAAAAATCTATTTGGTAAAAAAAACAATAAAAATGGTATTGTATTTTATTGTTTATAACTTTAAAATAAATTAATATTTAAAAAATAGTATGGTGTTTTCAATTGTCTGTGAGCCAATCCTCTCACATGTAACCTCAGTTCTAGGCTACTCGGTTAGGCGGTTACTTGGTAACAGTAGAATTTGCAAGAAAAATGTGTTGGACTTAGAAATTAAACTGTCCATTGATTTAAAAAAACAACAAACATTTTCTTGGCACATTAAGGCCGGTCAGCATGAGCACTAAATAATATTGTTAATGTATTCTGGAAGCTAACGGAAACCTCTTTGCATATGGAGATGGGCCAAGGTCAACTGCTGTCTAATGTGTAATAGTCTCTACAGTGTTGCTTTAAGAAGAGCCAAGCTATTGTATTGGACACAGCGACAGACTACTCCAGGAAATTACTGTTGCCCCAGAGAGCCCCCTGCTGCATGATAAAACACTCCTGACTCTGTATCATGCAGTGTGGGACCACCTGTCAATTTTGTGCAAACCTAATGGTGACTTCTTTGGACCAAAGTGAATCTAAAATACAACTGAACATGTTCTGTGGTTGGATCAGTGCATGTTTTATCTGTTTCAGGAAAACATAGTTCTGTATTTTATTTGGTTAAGATGAAAGTGAAATCCACCCTGTTTAAAAGTGGAACATTATTTTAAATGGGAAGTTGTCTTTATTGCTTTGTGTGCTTTACCAATATAACAGTGTTTCCTCTGATAAAAGGCATGAACTGTCCATGGTGCTGAAAAAGAACACTAGGTTTCAGGAACATAAAGATACATATATAAATATTTTATTCATTTATTTTTCAACCACAGACATTTAACTGCTGCGTAAAAATCCTTTAAATTCAATTCTGAGACTAAAGATTGTAGAGGGACGGATGAGATTCTCTTAGCATTAGCAACTTTTTCCTTAATAACAACTTCATGGTTGAGCCATCCATCCATCCATCCATCCATTTTCATCCGCTTATCCGTTACCGGGTCGCGGGGACAGCAGTCACCACCCAAATCACATTGCACCATAACAACCCCCCAAACCTTCCTGCGGGTGGTGAGTCCACTGGAAGGTACCAACCGCCCTAACCGGGATTCGAACTTGTCCAGGAGATGAACCATGGGGTTCCACACCAATGACAGAGACATTGCCTCTGGGCCAAAGCGCCACTGGTTGAGCCTTATTTTGTAATTAAGATCTATATTTGCAAACAGCGGTCTCATGTTTGAACAGGTTTTTCCCAGCCACCCTTTGATTGATGTTGTACTGCTACTGAGCTTGTGTTACAGTCTTAGAAAAGGCATTTTACAAAAGTGTTTCCCTGTCAGTACTTGAGGCTATTGATTTATCATAAAGTATCCATTGAATGTAAGAGCATGCTGATATTCAGAGGTGTTATCCGAGTGATGTTTAATATTTATGGCTTTCTTTTTTACTGGTGTAGTAGTTGAATATATTTCCAGAAATACAGTCACTTATTTCTTTACATTGTGTATCACTGGTGTAGTATTTGTTTCTGGGTCTGTATGCCTGTCTATGTATATATACATACATACATACATGTATATAGATAAATACAGTGTGTATATATATATATATATATATATATGTCTATGTATATATACATACACACCATGCGCACATGTACGCACGTGTACTTACTATCTGTTTCTCCCCTGGGTTTCCAGAGCTAAAGGTGGTGGCAAGGGTGGAAGAGCACGGCTCGCTGTACCATGGCACATTTCCAGATTCTGTAGTGCTGCTTATGGACAGTGTGTAAATGCTGTTGGTGTATCCATCACAGTTACAGTTGTCCTGCTCATGTCCACCATTACCGGAAGCCCACACAAAGATGGAGCCCAGTCCGCCACGTCCCTGCAGTACGGAAACATATAGTACATATTATTTTATATGTCAGAAAAACAGTAATGACAATCGATTAAATGTAAAAAAAAAAAAACCCTTTGAAAAAGATGTCGGTCTCACAGCTTATCGTTTTCTCTTCAAAGTGTCTTCTTCAGTAATGACAGAGGCACTGTTGACATCGCTCTTATTAATACATCATTATGACAGGTAAATTACTGTGGCAGGGCATTAAACAAAAGAAAAATGAATAAAGGTAATTACTCAAGCTGGATATAATTTAAGGTTCTGGCAAATCATAACACAACATTTGCAAGTAAAAGTGGAAAAAAATGTGAGATTCACACCAAACATGAAGCATTAGTGTCTTCACATCTGCTCTGTCAACAGCAGACCAGATATCCAACAGTGGTTTATGACTCAATAAAACTGTGGTAAACATGACAAGCTCAGTCATTTCTCATTGCAGAAACACTGCTGAGATCAGATAATAACTGTCTGTCTGTCAAAACCTTTTCTTGTGTGTGTTTTTAAAACCAGTTTATAAGATTATAGTAAATCTTTAATGATGGAAAACCATTGGGAAAAAAATGACAGAGACCCACCAGCTGTGACAGAACTCATGCTGTAGTGCTGACAAGATAGGTGGAGTGTGTGCCCATGTTTTCACATTCCCCCCTGACCCGAGAGTTATTTTTGAAGTTGTACCATGGCACAGGTCAGTCTACCCCTGCACAGCTGACCTTTCTCCCACCTTGTAGCCTTCTGATCCTGGGATCTGCTAACCAGCCATATGTCCACAAGGACTGAGGACCTGCTGTCCCAGCTCTTCACCTCAAAATAAGCTGTTTGAACATTTTAAATTGTAAAGGAAATAGTAACAGAAAAGTCTTATCTGGGGTCATATAGGTCAGGCATGGGCAAACTAAGGCCCGGGGGCCAGATGCGGCCCATTCAGCTTTTTAATCCTTTTCCACATTATATACATATTATCATTATACATCTGCCTTTTCCCTGCAGTACCCATGTTTTCCCAATAGATGGCGTTGAAAATGATAAAAGCATTTTAGCATTTTAGCCTTTATGCATGGCTTCTACATGTCATTTATCTTAGTTCGCACAAACGCTCAATCTATCAGCTCCTGACCTGGCCCCCTGTTCAGTTTTATTATATATACAATTGTGGCCCGTCAGTGAAAAAATGGTCTTCAAATGGGAACCAAACCAATGACTTAACTTAGACAGAGGCAAAGTTCAAAAACACAGAAGAGATGGTCGATATATATAGAAACACAAGGACCCACAAGGCTGGACGATGACCTGCATGTTGCAGCGGATGAAGACGAACAGCCACAGAGGACAGACAAGCAGTGCAAACACATTAGAGGAGGAGCAGGCCGTCGCATCAGCCAGCGTCTGCCTTTTTGTCACTACTAGAGCTCCTTAGTACAAGCTGTCTAGCCTTCACCGGGGTGCGTCAGCGAAGAAGAAACTTAAGGTTAGCTGACCTAATTCTCAAGGTAATTCGTTAGCCGAAACTTGTTGACATCACAGAAAAGGAACAAACCGTTAAAAGAACCGAGTCAAAAGAATTGAATTCCTCCTATTTCATTTTGGAATCTATGACCCACCATCTGAATGTCACCATTAGACAGAAAGAGACAGAAATATGTCAGAGACATTTTCTGTCTCTGACAGAAAATTTAGCAACATGCCCCAAGAACTCTGGCTGCCTTTCCTTCTTTATTGAATGTTTTTAATTAGTTCCTAGGGATAGAGCAGAGGGATCAATGAGTAAGCCAATGTTAAGTTTAACCAGGCGCTAACCAGACACAGGTGGATCAAGTTACTTCGTACGGAATTCCAACGTAAGTTGAGGTTTATAGATATTATGCTAACCTCTGTTAGCATATATTTATTTTGTAGAATCTGTAGAAAGTGTGCATAAACAGCAGTGCAGTAAGTTTGAACAGCTGGAGATAAAGGTAAAGTGTCAAAGTTGGATAATTTGGACAGCAACATTTGAATGAACCATTAAGAATAGATGGCATCTTCCTATACTTTGTCTGCCTGGTTGAACGTTAACTTGACTTGCAGATGTAGCGAGGGACTACGGTGTTCTGGAGCCGACATGCTAATATCCTTTACAGTCAGTCAGTTTTTATTGCTCTGCTGCTGAGGGGTAAATTGTTTTCAGCTTTGCCAGATATATGCAGGGATTTCCCCAGATTCTAGGATGTTTCCGAAGAAATTGTGGACTGTAGATGGCGAAATCCATAAATTCCTCGCAAGGATGATGAAACTTTTTCATTGGATGTAATTTCACAGAAAATGTTCCACTCTTGCCCCCCCCATTTCCCCAACCCAAGTAACAGGACAGAGACCAAACAGAAAGCGCTAAAAAAAAAAAAAAAAAAATCCCATTAGTAAAATATCAATGAGAGATTTTGAATTTAAATTTCATGAGGGAAAATTCCCCAAGGCATAATCATAACAATGCATAATGATCAGGCGCATGAATCAAGGAGGTTCAATCATCACACCCTGATGGAGATGTCAAAGTTCAAGCCTTTGAGAGAAATTAGTTTTCTAACTTGTATGACTATTCACTCCTTCAGTAGATGACAAAGGTGTTTACATCTTTAAACCTCAATCCCGTTTCCATTGTAGAAGATTCTGTAACATTTCCTTCGTTAAACCCATGTGCCCGCAGCTGACAGCTCACATAAGTAATTCAAATCACGGGTGATTTAAAAGTTAATAAAACAAATGAAAGTTTAATTAAAAAGTGGATGCTGTGGCACAGGGGTTCCAGAACCAAACGGAAATATATATATATATATATACTTTTTTTTTTTTTTTATGTATTAACGTTCTCCTACTGCTGGAAACAAAGTGGGTGGATAACATATTCAGTTGAGAGAGGAAAACAAGCAACTGAGAAAAGTGAGGGTGCTGCCTACAGCCTACATACAGAGGGAAAATAACACATTTGAAGATGAGAAATTATTAAGACCTTGCATAAGCCATGAAACAACACAGAAGACAGCATAAGGACTCTACTGGAAATGCTCTGTATATAATTAACACTGGTTCCTATTGTGCCGCCACTCATGACACCTCTGTGGAGTTTATTACCATCTAAATACTGCTGTCTTTAATGAAAGGGCAGGATGAGGTTATAACTCTGTTATGTCTTTGTTAGTCATAAATTAAATGTTAGAAGAATCTAACCCGCAGTACATAAAAAAAAGCAAATAATTCATTGTTTAATTAAATCCAGCCTCCAAGTTGAGACATATTCATTTTAAAAATTAAACCTGCTCCACACTCGTTGCAGTTTAATCTAACGCACCAGAAATATGTAAATATATCCCCCATTTTTAAAATCTCCCAATAAACAATTATATGAGAGCATCTTTTTATTCTGATTACACTCAAAGTGACAGTTAAGCAAAACAAAATCACTGGAATAGCAGAAATACTATTATAGAAATACTCAGAAATACTCGATACAACAAAATCACTGGAATAGCAGAAATACTCCGATCGATTGAACAACAGATGAGACTAAACTACGCCTGTTAAAGGGTCCGCCTTAAAAAGGAAGTTCAAATAACAGAGGAGGAGGAATAAAGGTATTCTTTATGTGCAGATGTAAACAGACCTCTCTATTACCCAAACCCGATCTTTAAAACCAAAAACAAACAAGAAAGGCGTTACATTAGAAAACCACTGGTCAAATGGAAGAAAACTGCCATGAAAAGAAAAATGAAATAAATGAACCCAAACAATGAATGGTAGCTAGACTACAGTATTCTAAACCACTGCTTATAAACCAGAATGGACTAGGTTATTGAGTTTGGCAAAGACAGGTCAAGGTAGAGCGATTCAGACAGAGTAGTAATCAATATGAGTGATCATGCCTCCATATGGGATATAACAAATGACCTAAATGATAAGAGAAAAACAACAGGGAAAAATAATGTCAGTTTGATTAATGATCCATCTTAAAAAATGAGATATATTGAAGTCAGATGTGCAGTAGAGCACATTTGAATGCTGTAACTAAGAAAGCTTTAAAAATGTGTTTTCAGTCCAACTGACAAATTCCAGTGAATGAACAGAAGAGAAATATTACTTAAATAAACAGTAGGTGATGACAACTGGCACTTCATGCAGAATGAAGAACTCGGCACAGATTTTCTAAGGACTTACTGTAGTTTCTGGACGATTACAAGTTGTGCTGCTTTAGTGGTGTAGCTGGTCCTACGACATATACAGGGGGTTAGATGGATGGATGGATACGACACATAGATGGATGGATGGATGGATGGATGGATGTACCTTCCGTGCAGGATATGTATTTGACTTTTTAAAGTATTAGGTGATTTCACTTTTTACGAACCAATCAAGACAAACCATTTAAATACCTCAATATGACCCGACAGCCAGCAATGAAAATCAATGCCAATTTCCGAACTCCACCGCTTGTTCCTCTATTTTCTATAACAGTCAGGCCAACAAATCAGCAAAATGAAATAACAAACGGAAAGTTTTAATTGTTCAAACTTGAATCTCCAATAGAAGTGATGGACTGTTTTAAAAATATTGGCTCAGCGTTAGGATACAAATTAAATATTGATAAAAACCAAATCCCTGACATACAAGCTTAACCCACAGAGAAACCTGGTGAAATTTAATGCAGTAACTAAATTCTTAGTAATGAAATTATCCGAACCAACGTTTTACTCAGGTTCATATAATATTTATTCATATGATATTACTTTTCAGTACTGTAAATGCCAAAACTATTGACTGAGTGAGAAAGAAGAGAAACAAAATAATTAAATGTTAAAATGTTACAGCTACAAATAGAAAAATAAGATCAGATCTATCATCCTTCAAAATAAACCTGGTGCAGCACATGTTACAGCCCGACTACAGTGATGTGATCCAGTACAGCCCACATTGAATGCACAAATTACCGGAGTTTCACACCGAATACATGAAAAAGTTCAAAAAGTCAACCCTTTATCTAGCTTCCATAAATCCATACATAATAAATACTTTGAGAGGCATTAGTTCAGACGTATACAACAGCCTCCGAAATATAAGAGCACTCAATAAATTACACGAAAGACAGGAGGGGAAAAAAAGAAAAAATGAAATCTGAAGAATGGCAAAAGAACCATGAGAGGAAGAACGTACCTCCACTCCAGAGTTACATGAATCAATGCAAAAACATCTAACGTCACATTACCTGAACTCAAAACACGCGTTCACAATACATGTACTCAAGTATAATGAAAGCTGGCTAATAGAGGTGCTGACTGAGGGAGCTCTGACTAAAAGGTAGCTGATACAGGATGGAGCAACTGCTAAAAACTGCAGAGATGAGGAGAATTCAAAGTTGATTTGTTTATGTGTCACAGAGAAAAATGTGAGACCCCGATCTGAATATGTAAGAAATCAACTAAAGTGACAACACCTAATGCACTTACACAAACACATGGCAGCTACTTGTGGCCGTCAGCCTCTAAAACGGACTAAATGCTTCATCTTTGATCCTCCCACATACAGCAGTTCTCAGCAGGAGGCCAAACAAACATTTCACAAGATTCAAAGCATTCCTTCCAATGTGCAAACAGGATGTGTGTGATAATACTGTTGAAAAAAAAAACAACCCGTCAACTCCAAACTTAGCACTGACTGACCTTAGTGACTCCTTGTAAGAAAGCCTCCTTGGCCAGCTTGGCAGGGCCGTCTAGTGATTTTCCGTCGTCTTCTGGGCCCCAGCTGGCACTGTAGATGTGAATGTGCTGAGGGTTGAGGCTGAGGGAGTGCGCCTCCACGATGTCTGTCACCTCACCGTCCAACATACGAACTCCTGTCAAACAAAGCAGATATTCAGCAACATATTGTGTTTGACAGGGACTGCGTAAAGTTTGTATCTCGATACAAATGAGTAGACGGTAGACGGTAGGGCATTGATGACTTCTGATTAATCCGACAATACAGTCCAAGTACTGTATACAGAGTTGTTTAATTACATCATCCTGCCACCGGAGGCACCGCTGAGTTAATTGAAACTCACAAGTTGCAGCCTAAGCAATTAGGGAATCAAAACCAGTACTCTCTGCTTGCAAGGCACTACAATATGAAACATGGCTATCAGTTAGTCAATGATAAAATATCAGCATTTGACATATTTGATTTGCAAGCTCTGTGAACCTTTGGCTTATTTTCTAAAATAGTAGAAGTTTTTATCTTTGAGGAATGGCTTCTCAACAAGCTCCAAAAATATGAATGAAGTCACAGAACCTTGAAGTGTGATTTTGTCTGAACTTTAATTTGGCCCATAACAGAACTGTAACTGACAACAGGATACAACAGCGACACCTATTTCTTTTTGAACAGGGTGAAAAACAAAATTATTCCCAATCATAATTAATTTGTGCAACTCTATTGTCCAAATTGTCAGATCATGGCCTGTCCTGCTGGTTTCTTGCATCTTATACTCATTAAAGTGCTGTTTAAAGCCACATAGAAATGCAACAGTAAGCACCCTCCATGTCCATCCAAAAAATAAATAAATAAAAAAAAAATTGGGAACCTGCCCAGACAACACACATCCCAAGAAAACGATATAAATAAGCTGTGAGCTTACAGAGCCCTTACCAGTGTCCACAGGAGAGCACACACTGCCAGCTTTTATCATTCCTAAATACAACCTGGCCCGAGCCTTTGAAGTGAGCAGCCTCAGATCACACCTCCAAACATTAATGACTCCAGAGAGGCATGAAACCAAACCCCCCCCCCCCAGACCTCAGAGGCAAACCTTTCACTGACGACATTAACACAGACTCCAATAATCCTTGACAACACGACTGGTCCTGAGGACACAAATACACACAGTGGGGATGAAGTAGAGCATGGTAAACTTCGCTGTGAGTATTCAACGTAGCACAGGTCTGAATACTGATCAGATTTTAAAAAATATGAGGTGCATATGCATCTCAAAAACAAAATGCGGTCAATACGATCTAGGTGCGTTGCAGCAGCAATCGCTGAGGTACTTGTTACAGTGCTCATCAACCTCCTGTGGTTTGATGGTACATAAAAAGAAGCTGCTGCCTGAGTTTCTTCGCTGCTGAAATAGCAGGTGGAAATTCGGCTTTGTGTGCTGGAGGAGGAAACACACACGGGGGGTGAAAGGAAAACTAGGTCCAATTACAGGGTTTGGGCACTTAGACAAAAATTATTGCTCAGTAAATATGTGCAATTTAGACGTGGGCACTAACAACACAGGTGCATGCATGCGTGAGGGAGGATACGGGTATTTGGAAGCAAGCTGCAGCTGTTTATAAACAACCCCACATCCACTGACCCCTGTGACATGAGCAGATTCTCGGTGGAGTAATTTATGAGCTGTGCAGCTCGGATGAGAGATGAATGGTAATGAATACAGAGGAGAGTTATGAGTAACATCTGTGTACAGCACTCCTCGGGCTCCACTGAGTCTTGTTGGCTGCCACCGTGTCACTGACAAATTGTCTGAACATAGGTTACAAAAAGAACTCTGAAATATTCAATCAAGGGCAAAACATGTTCTAAAAAACAAATCCTTCAGATTCAACTTTTTTCCTGTGACGCTTTTAAAACAGATTGTATGAATGACGTCATTAGATTTGCTAAAGGTTCCTCTACAACCGACCTGGCCAAACTATGGCCAGTGGGCCAGATATGACCCGCTTGGCTTTCTAAGCCGGCCTGCCAAACACTGGTACAAGCTGTGATAAAGACTGTAATTTCAGTTGACGCCACTAAATGATGGCAGACATCAAATGTGCTAAAGTCTCTTTGAAAGTTTAGGTTCATTCTTGTACATTTATCTTAATTATATCCCCCAGCATTCAACAGCTAACCAATAATGAACAAGGCCGCTAGTCAAGTTTTGGACCTCACAAAGTCTCCCTGAATGGAGGGAACCATGGTTTTAGCGTTTGTCCTGAGTTGCATTTTAATACATAAAAGGACATGAAGTTGTGTCAATCTATTTTTATCCTTCTTTAAATTAATAAAACAGTGTTTTAAAATTGCAGGAATATGACAGCAAATAATGAACCCCACCATTAGGTCCAAGTCACAGCCTGCAGAACTCTAGGAGAGAATCGTGGTAAAAGGATCTGGGGGTGGGCTATGAAAATGTATCGCTTCAAAGAGCACAGTAGTCTGTTCCCTCCAGACATGAAACTTGAAATTGAGGCCATCCAGCCCAATCATGCTGTCTGGAGGTCCTTTCACAGAGGAGAGGAATCTCGCCTCTCAGCTCTCGAGTCGTGGTCAAACAGCTGCTGCTCTTAAGGCTGGTTCGTATCTGCTGTAGCATGTGGATGACGAGGTAAACAAAAAAACCCTAACAGATGTCTGACACATAACAAATGTAACAGGAAAAGGAAGCTTTACTGTGACTGCTTTACTATCTACACACACAGAACGCCATTAGCTACGCAGAGTGCAAATAGATCAAAAAAAGGTCAACGCTGCTAACCCTAACCCTGTCACCACTGCCACAGAATCAAGGACAGCTAACTTCACTTCTGTCTAAACCTCAGAAGATTTTTTTTTTACAAATTTTTGATTCATTTATTGAGATTCCAAGTCAAATAACTCACACGGATGAATTACCATTCTACAGTAGAGCTTTTATAACCCACCTCTGAACCTCTGTACAGTCATTAGCACTGTTTTAGGTAAAAAGGATTTTACTCACCTCCAATTTTTGCATTGAAAGCCACGCCGACACCACACACGTTGTTGGCTCCAGCTGCAACTTCTCCTGCACATCGAGTCCCGTGTCTAAGGAAACGAGTGGAGCGAATGACAATAAAAATTAAGATCAATGCAACAGCAATAAAACAAAACAAAACAAAGGTTTAGGAAGTTAATATTATTTCAAGATGAAAAAAAAAGAAAACAAAAATGACCGTAAAGGATTCAATTCTTTCTTTCGTAGATTGCTGCCCAGAGCTAGGCCATGAAAGAATACTGTAGCTGAAGCGCTCCTAAAGATACACCACCGTGTAAAAGAGGCATAAACCAAATGGCTCTTTTGTTACTGCAGTAGATTTGAATCAGAGCTGTAACTATAACTGTCAAAAAGCCTCGTGTGCTGTTCACGTTAAATGCCTTTTAAAAATATTGGACTAAATTATTGTTCAAAAGCACAGCCACCCTTTTGGTGAATGTAGCCGGTTCAAAAAATGTATTAATGGTCACTGTTAGAAATGTAATTATTATGACATACAAATGGGCCTTCAAAATGTTCTAAGACCAAATGAATAAAATCTGTATGAATATGAATATACAGGGGGTCCTTGGTTTATGAAGTCCTTGTTTTCATGGTAACATCACCACCTCCATCAGTAATAAAGGTCTAATTCATTATTTCGACATACGGTGTTACAACACGTTTCACCAAGGAACTAGTCGGTGAGTGGAGTCGTCACGCAGCACTCTACGTGGAACAAGACTTTGTTTACATTTGTCAGTTGTAGGTCATACATTGGATTATGCTACATTTGTTTTCTTTTGTTTGTGTTGTTTTTTAGATATCTTCAACCATTGTCCGACAACGAGACATTTTTGTCTTTTCATAGGTCTAAACAAGAGTTCCTTCTGTGTGTAGTGTAACGCTTAAATAAAATCAGCTCTCTTCAGAGGTTTTTTTTTGTCGTACCCTCGAACAAAACGTTCACCGACTTTTATCCATCCGCCTCATTTCATCCTATTCAGTTTTTCTTTTATTGCCTCAAACGCTTGTTTTGGTTGTTTATTTTTAATATGCAATTCGGTGGTGCTCAAAATATTTTGTTGTATTATTCAAGTGACACGATGACAATAAGAGATTATTCTATTGTAGTCTATTCTAGTCTGTGTTAATCTATTCTCTTCATTGTACTGTGTAATATCTTTTTCTATTATAATCTGTTATCTTCCATTCTATTCCACTGTTTACCAAGCTATTCTATTCTATCTTTTTCTAGTCTATTGCAATTTAATCTAGTCTGTTCTATTCCATTCAATTCAACTATAATATATAGTATATATATAATATAACTGAAGCAACATTTACTGACCACCTTCATACAGTATACTTCATTTAAACTTTTGATAGTTGAAATGAAATCTGAGTATATTGTATATGTAATTTCTCGGCAACAATCAAACTTTAGTCACAGTTGTGTATCTGTACACCGCTTCTATTCCCAGCACTGTCAATCAAAACTGATGTAAAAACACCCTCACTGTCACGGTGCCCATGTGCATATATTCGGAGCTTTCTTTTTCTTTCTGTTTTTATCAGGCCCTTTTATACCACATAAGCTTGTGCAACGTTGGACTGCTACAGGAGTAAACCCTACAACAGCTTATATTGCTTCAGCTCATATTGCTCAGTCAGCTCCTCTCTTGATTTCACCTCAGTCCCAGGGGGAGAAAAAAAAAACCAGATAAATATTTTCTTGTGTTGCACAGTTTGCAGGATGCAATCACCAGTGACCTGTCCAAAAAACAAACTTAACACTGACATCAACAGCACCCATCTGAATAAGATATGAGATGAGATTATTGATGTGCATGTATTATTCAGTTCCTCTGAAGTAACTTCAACCAGTCTTGGGTTTTAGAGAAGAGACTCGTCGCCTATAGCAGACTGTTAGAATCCTATACAAGGAGAAACACTCCCACCTCTCAAACACCATGTGCTTTGAAATGATAATAAAAAAAACATTTAAATAATCATAAAGGTCGTGATTGTTTTGTGAAATACAAAATGACTTAGAATTCATCACACATTCCTAAAATACATTATAATAGATTTCACTGATGACCAAAGTCAAGCTTGTGGATTTTAACGTCTGAAATTTAACAGAGGACAATTAGCTGATTGCTAATTATCTTACATGATACAATGTGAAGCACATTTTCAAAAACTGAGCTGATTACATTCAAGTTGTTCATTTTGTTCTATGATTGTATTGCGGTTGCCGACTCTCCTGAGAGGCAGAGGACACAGCGGTTTCACAGGGTCAGAGCTCAGCTACACCTCCAGCCAGGATCTTGATTAGACTCTGTGAGGACACCCACTTATTGGCTGATTGGTCATAGAATGTCATTCTTTCTTTTTGTCTATCTTTCTACTCTCTTCATTACTTTAGCTGATACTTGAAAAAATATTTTTTGCAAACTAATCTTTTCTAATTTTTTCCTGTACAGGTAACAATGAAAAGTAATTAAGTGTTTTTTTAACAAAATTACCAAGACAGGACTCATTTCTCCACCAACAGATATCACACACAGACCCGAACACAGACGGTGTCATACATCACACACCTAATTGAAATGTGACGGTTTTACTGCCATTAATATCATACTTCATGTGATATTAATGGCAGCTGTTGATCACTGTTCCCTAAAGAACAATATCTGTAGGATTTCAAGGGTGAAATTAGGATTTATGGAGCTGGAAGCCAATTAGCCATCAGCACTTGACAGGACAGAGTAATGTATTTCAAAACCAACATCCTTCATAATCAGCCACACAATTCAGCAACACAAAGCAGTTGAGTCATCAGTGTTAGAAAACAGCTGTGAAAAGCTCCAGGCGTGGACTAGAGTCACACAGCTAATTAGATTGGAGAAAATGATGGTCTCCGTACACGGCGTGTACGTGTCGGCGTGTGAAGTAACACACAGACATTTCACTGAGTATTCACTAAGGAGTATTCACTAAAGCGGCGCCATAGAGGAGGAAGGCGTTGCTTTTGACGGCTCAATCAAACCAATCAATCAGGTCCTGCTGACCAGAGTAGGTGCTGGACGTCACTCACTTTGAGTAAAGAGACAATTTGTTATAAGAAAATGAACTACTGTGTGAGCAACAGAACCGGGCGCTGCATGGTATCAAGGCTGGTTGGTTGGTGGAGCTTTGTTAAAACAAAGACCAGTTGATAAGTGGTAGAAATAATTACTGACATGATGCAGATCAACAAAAATAAACAAGAAAAGGAAGACATAATCTGCATTTGAAGGCAGACAAAGTTCTATCACAAATCAAATTACTGTAATTAAATTCTTTTTCGGCCCAATAATACAGAGATGGCATGGCCTTGATTACACCGTGGTCTCTCTGCACAGCCATTTCACAGTAAAAAGCCACACAAATAGTGCCTTTTAAAAATGATGACTGATTTAGTAGATGGCGCCCATCTTCTTTATTATTATTATACAACCATCATTTTTAAAGGCATAATGACAATAATAACAATAATAATAATAATAATAATAATAATAATAATAATAATAATAATAATGACTGTGCATCTATGCTGAATTTAGTGAAATTGAAAATAATGATATTTACAGGTATTTTGTTTTAAATATTCCTATTCAGAAAAAAAACATTTAAAAAATACAAACCTATACATATATACAGACTATATTATAAATGTGAGAAATTCCTAGTTTATAAATAAAAAGGTTATTATATATGTACATATATTCATCTATAAAAACACACATATATATACACACATATATGTAAAAAATTGAAAAACCCCTAGATTATGAATGAAAGGGTTATTTTGCCTCAAAAATATTTGCCGATTTAATTGTTTGGACACAAGACTGGAGCTGCAGTGACTTCTATGGAAAGTGAAAATGGCATTTTCTAACAGCCATGATAGTAAACTGTCAACAGAAAGATAGCAGCCGGTAAAGACGTTTACAGCGCGGCTGTGCACATTAAGCTCGGCCGTGTTTTGAATATTATCTGCTTGGGCACAAGCCTGTCTGTGCATGTTTGCAGTAGACTGATTGGTCTGAGTCACTTCTGTTCAAACAGCCAGGAAAATTAATGTATGCAATGAGGCATTTATGGTTGAAACCACTGTTTAATCTGTCCAATACCCATGAAATAAAATGATTTTCAAAGCCCATTTTTGAATGCCTCATTTTTATATCCACATAAAACCATAGAAAGTGGCCCGGAATAGCTTTCTGTTAATGTGTGACCACATCTTGTAGATTGCCAATCACAGTTAATTAATCTTTTATACCAGAGCTGAAGGATATTAAATACTACATGATTGGTATGAAGACAAAATGAAGCAACAGCAGCCTATTTGTGTAAACTGCAGCCATTTTTGACAAAAGCCAATGTGACCTTCCTTATCTGCTGAAATGAAGTGAAAGATATCAGGAGTGGCTCTTTTGTTTTCAGATTAACGTCACATACAACATACTTGGTCACTCCTGTCCTTCAGTGGTTTTTGTAGCCTTGTCACTGGACTCTGTGTCTCTGTGGGTCATGATGCAACCTCCTGTAAACTCAAACTACACTATAAAGACTTCACCTGCATCCAGCCAGCAGCTACACACAGGATGCCTTATTTCCTCTCATCTGGTGACTCTGCATTTGCAACACAGTAGAACAAACATTGTTAATTAACAAATTCTAGAAAAAAAAGTCTCTGGTCGTCACCGCAAATTTGTGATGCCAAAAGGCCAAGAAATATTGGGAATCACAGAACTAAACCTTTATTAGAGGTTATTAGAGAGGATGAGAATGGATCTTGTTAATTTGTTGACTTCTGTTGGTGTAACAGGGTTAAGATGAGGGGCATTTTCTTTGCTTCCGAGACAATCTCTAAAACAGGTAATAAATATTTGGATTACTTTTTTCTCTCGATGTTTTTTTCTGTTCCCATTTTTTTTTATACCAATAGCAAATTAACTGACACATCACACACACACACACACACACAAATCAAGACAACCTCATGCTGACATTTTTTCAT